AAGTGGCGATTGTGTTGCAGGATGTCAAGAGGATACCTTTAACTGGAAGGCGTATGTCGTCATCGATGTGTGAGATTGTGCTGTGAGTATGCTTGTGGTGGGTTGGCTTTTCTGTTTGTTTTCCATTTCAGCTCTGTCCATGTGACCCAGGTTCTCGCAATGGCATCCAAGTCAACGTGTATTGGTCGTGATGGAAAAAAGGGATGGATTCCTTTTTTGCCGGGGAGTGTCAATGCAGTTGAAGATTGAACGATCAATTCATGGTTGTTTGCTCAAAACCAACTTCCCCAATTTTCGCGGAGGCATCAATCAGCCAGTCATCGTCTCATCGGTCGCTGTTCAGAAAGAAGTCAGCAGTAAACCGTCAGAAGTAATATTGTGATTTATTATTGTAATATTTGTTCACAGACCATAGTGGAGACATTTTTTATATGTTGGTGTTACAATAAAGAATTCTCGAGTGGCCAGTCGTGTTTTGGTTTTTGCGTCCGTTATTACTAAGCGTTTCTGAGAAACTTCAAGGAACAGCGTGAGCCCGAGCGTAGCAAGAGCTGGGCATTAACGGTTTACGATACGTGGCTTACAGGCGTCTTTCTATCACCTCTAGGCCTGGGCGCGTGTTGAGGCCGCTCATGCAATTCATTGAAATCATGGTATTCTTATAGGTCATAATATTATCTAAAAACTCAGTAAGTGCCTTGGAGTCATCTTGTAGTTGACTGCCGTTACCTTTGACAGCTTCGAATGCGTTCCTTAAAATCATTGCAGGTCTTCCAAACCTTTGACGTAGTATGCTCATAGCCTCGTAGTAGCCCTCTCTTGGCTTCATAAACTTACAGCACTGTATAGCTCCTGAAGCATCTCCAGTGCAATACCTCATGAAATGCATTAACTTCATTTCATCATTTAATAAAAAACCACTCATTATGACCTCAAACTCCTTTACAACCTGTAAATAATCAGCTGGGTTTCCGTTGAAACACCGTGTTTCAAATTTAGGGAGTTTGATATTCCTATTATCTCTAGACGGCGAGACAGTGACTTCAACCATGTCATGTTTAACATCAGACACATCGCTACAAGTAACAGACAGGTCAACATGACTTACTTTCCTGTTTGCATCCAAGACGCTCTGTCCCCTCTTTGACCCAGGCATTGTTGAACTTGGCCCGATTCCAAAAACGTTCCAGATATTGCTTGTTCAAAGAGGACTTGACCGGCACCAGAAAAGATGAACGGCGACTATCCAAACTGTCACCAACTGTCTGAATCCGTCAGAAACTGTCATTTACGTCTCGCAAACCGTTAATGCCCAGCTCTTGCTACTCTGGGACTCACGCTGTTCCTCGAAGCTTCTCCGAAACGCTTAGTAAGAACGGACGCAAACACCAGAACCCAGTTTGGCGACTCGAGAATTATTTATTCTAACATCAACATATAACCAATATACAACCAGGGTCTATGAACAAATATCACAATAATAAATCACAATATTACTTCTGACGGTTTACTGCTGACTTCTTTCTGAACAGCGACCGATGAGACGATGACTGGCTGATTGATGCCTCCGCGAAAATTGGGGAAGTTGGTTTTGAGCAAACAACCATGAATTGATCGTTCAATCTTCAACTACATTGCCAGTGCTTCTGCACACTAAAGTTTGATACGAAGAGTCGAGTTTTGTAATTCGGTTCTACTGTGTATTGGATATCATCTTTTGGTGGAATTAGGCGCCATTTACCGTATGTACGCCATGTAGCTGTTAGCAGATCTCGTTATCCCTTATCCGTCGGCTTGTTGTTGCCGTGCTGTTGTCGTAAATAGACAGGTTGCACGTGTCCGCCATTTGCAGGGATGCCTAGTCAATATCAGCTGCAGTACCTAGTAACACATTCGCTGTGGTTTCACAATTCGACAGGCGTGAGAGAGCGTCGGCGTTAGCATGTCACTTCCAGGACGGTATTCACAGGTGAAACCAGAAGCCTGTGACGTTACTGCCAGTGAAAAAGTGGACCCCTGGCATTACTTGCCCATGCCTTTAAAACTGTTGTGTCCTACATGGATAGGAATAAATATATATGTATGTGCCATCCAATAGATAATTTTTATGGTCGAGAGTGAGATGCACTATATGGAGTCTGGGAGTTCAGTGAGTGGTTGGTCGGTCACTCGCAGACATCCTAACTGCTTTTTGAAATATGAAAACTCCTCTAAGTTCATATTAATCCCAGTCCCACCTACAAAAAACCACAACGTTTACACTGAATTCACTGTCGACGATCATAAAGGTAAAAAGGATTCTATCGTTTTTATTATGCTGATGTTACAGTAGGAGTGTGAGGTTCTGAGTTCGACTATTTCGCCCCTCATCATTCTCACGTTGCTGCGCGGGCAAATGATGTTTCACCACCTCCCTTTGTCGTGGGCCGGTTGGTGGGTAGTAAGCCTCTGAGTTGAAAGTTTATATATGAATTGCTAGGCTGATTCCGATGAAACAGGCCTGCCGCAATTCCCCCTCTCAAATACTATTAGGAAACCTATCTTATTTTGGTTGTTGTCCTTCCCCATGTCATACAAGTGTATTGTAATTGATGCAAGAGGACACATCGTAACCTAAGTTTGCTGCTCCCTTATGGTTTAAGGTCAACTTTTGCCGGGTCGAATATACCCTCTATCCTTGTCTTTCATTTAGTAGTAATGGCTTCCAGGACGGGATAGCCTACAGATGGTGATTGCCAGAGAACCACGAAGAACAAGCTGAGAGGGTAGCTGTCTCCATTGCTGCACATCATGTGCCTATTTCAGGCTCCAGAGCACCGTGTTAGATCATGGAGATGGAGAGCACTAGTTCCGGTGACCGCCTCGTCATTCCACCGACCGTTCATAGCCTGTCGAGCAACGTTCAGGTATTCAGAAGTTACCCAGGTAACTGGGACTTGAGAGAGCAACAGTTTACTCTGAACTCAGTATTGCCTTTATATGAGGTGTGTGAGCAACTCTGTACAGCCTGTACAACTTTACAGGTAGAATACATGGCCGTATTTAACTACGGAAATTAAATCACTACGTCCGGTTGAATAATGCCATTCGTCCTAGTAGGCTACTACTATACACCCGTGGGATGGATAGAACAGTTTGCTTGGCCTGCTTCAGGGTTTTAGTATTTTATAGCACACTGAAATGGCGCCGTCTGTCAATGGATTCATATGGTCTTTCAACAGCGTCAGAACTAACTACGACTCTCACCAAAATGCTGGTGAGGTTCAAATAAGTAGAATGATTATTAGGTATGACTTCAGAAGTTTGGGGTTTCACTGAATTTGTACCCTTAATTTGATGGGCTGAAGTTTCCAGCCACTTTTGACAATGTGAGTTTTGTATTTCCTGGAGAAACTCTGCGTAGAGCTGGGTCACGATGACAGAATAAACACAAGAGGCTGGGACATAGTTTATTTTGTGAAAACTCAAATGCGTTGGAAGCATAATTAATAACTGAAGTCTGAGTCGCTTCTGTATGCGACAAAATTGAAGATGTGGCCACCGTCACCTTTTCCAATAAAACCTCTAACCCCTGATATTGAGACCTCTCCAACTTTTTTGTTTGTTACTAGTAAGCGCGACCGGTTGTCTCCTTCTGAAAACGACAGTCATACGACGTTCACTTGATTCATTCCGAATGGTTTCATCACAGCCATGTGAGAGCATAGAAGTACCAATGTGATGGCAGAAGACAAGGGCCAGGCAACAGATCGTTTGTTGAGAAGATCAAGAGGTATTTATACACTTTTATGTGCATTATTATTAACGTTATTGTTAATTGAGAAGCAAACTCTTCTGATTGGTTGTTTTCTTTCTGAAGGTGGAACAGTGGTTAGGACTCTCACCGACCATATATGGTCCGAGGTTCGATCCCCTGCCGACGCACACCTGATATCTATGGTCGGCCTGCAAAATTTGGGCTACCGATATCACGTGCTGAAAATTCCATACCTGTACCAAAAATACAGTATGGAATCAAGCTGTAATAAAAAAGGTTATTCTGTTGTCATTTTGTGACCGTTTCTCAGAAAATCAAGTCATATATCTGTGAATCATATTTCCACATTTTAACCCCTCTGTGATTGGCTGGAGATTTTCTCAAGGTTAAGCTTTGTTATCGTTTTTCTCGTGGCCTTTATTTGGAACATGAACAATGGCGTAAATTGTCACCTACAATTTCGGCTTGCGGACAGCTCTCACCCCATTAACGCAACAAGAGACATGAGGAGATGTGTATATTTCTAATACTATATTTCCAATAAGTTTTTGCCTAAACTGGCTACAGCTCCATTCGCAACAGAATATGCAGTAGTGATGAACGTTTGCAGGCCATAGTCGATTAATATTTTACCACACACTCTATAGTATGGTCAAATAACCATAAAAGAAGCCACAACAGATGAGGTCACTCTATGAAGTAAAGCCGAAAAGACTGATGCGAAAAAGGTTCTGCACTTTACCCTGAATTTCAGGGTTGTAATGAATTCTTTCAGCCGTGCAATAGGCCCACAAGTATTGTTTATTTGATACAGTGTGAAAAAGGCTCTATAAGTGCGTCGGTGGCACAGTGGTTGGGACTCTTACCAACCATGCACATGGTCCGAGGTTCGATCCCCTGCCGACGGACACCTGATATCTATGGTCGCCCTGCAAAATTTGGGCTACCGATAACACATGCTGGAAATTCCATACTTGTGACATAAATACGGTGTGGAATCAAGCTGTAATCAAAAAGAAAAAAGAAAAACAAGTAGCACCCGAAGACAGTATTTCTAGTCAGACGGACATAGGACGCAGAAGTTTGATGTGAAAGTAACGGACGAAAGTTCGCCATTAAGTAGGATGATGCTTTAAAATAAGGCACTTCTTAATGGAGGAATTCGCCTGTTAGGCAGGTAAATGCACTTCAGTACTCAAAACGCACACTGGTGATCGCCACACATGCATCCACTGAATTGAATCATTGAGCACAAACCAAATGACAAAAATATAGTTTGCCTAGTTATTGTAGTCACTTATGATAAAATGCAGTAATTAACACATATTTCGTTATATTTGACACAACACCCATTTTGTTTGGATATGGCAACACAATTGTTCAAGCTATAAGCTGCACGGTGCACTTTTAAGTTCCCGCCCGTGTAGGCTCCCTTACGGCAAGATGCCTTCCTATACTAACGGTGGAAATGGGGTTATGGACACATTTCTGTTTACGTCCGAATCTGTTGGTGAAGGACATCCTGGTGAGTTGTTGGATATTGTTAATTTATTAGGGTTTAGATAAAGTTTGTGATCAAATAAGTGATGCCATATTAGATGAGTTTTTGCGACAGGATCCTGAAGCCAAAGTTGCATGTGGTATGTTGCCTGCTTCTCTATTACAAGTTCTTAAGAATCATTTGCTAAAAGTGACCTTATTCTCGTGGGTGGGGAGATTTCATCGAATGCTGTTGTTGACATTGAGAACACCGTCCGTAATGTGGTGAAACACATTGGCTACGATGATATTCGCAAGGGATTGGATTATAAATCCTGCAATATTATGAAGGCAATTGAACAACAAAGTCCAGACATTGCGAAAGGCGTATATGAAGGAAGACGTACTGAAGACATTGGTGCTGGAGATCAGGTAACAAACAGCTAACATTCTCCAGCTATTGCGTACAACCTTAAAATCAACTTTGTTTTGCTTGTGAATTAATCATAATGTCTGAAATAACGCTCATATCAATATATTTGAAACTTCAGAAATTCAAATGGTACAATATGTCAAATGAAGTAAATATAAGACTACTCAAACATATCTCAGAATAGTCAGACGAAGTATAACATGGAAATCCACGTAATTTACACATTACTTCCTTGGGTTAAAAACCAAAAATAGTTGAGATGCGATTGTGAAAATAGGGGTACCTAACAATGCAGAATGTAGTAGGACATGTGTGCTCTTGCAAACTCGTTTTCTGAACAGACTCGAACGGAACTTATCAACACTGGATACAAACAGCTTTTGTTCTATTTCTGTATGAAGTTTATACGATGAAAGAACTGTTCACATAAGTGTATGGTATTACAGTACTTGGTGGTGCTCCTTCTAAACAAAATTACTTTTTATAGTTATCGTCTTTGTGCCTCTTTATGCTGTTAACCAGACTTCATAGAAATACTTTTTCATTTTCTGTTACTGTGTTGCTTACTTTCTATTTTGATTGAATGGCTTTTTCTCAGGGTTTGATGTTCGGCTATGCAACCGACGAAACAGAAGAATGTATGCCACTGACAGTCACCCTTTCACATGCACTAAATAAACGTTTGGCTACTTGTAGACGTGATGGAACGCTGCCATGGGCTGGTCCTGATTCGAAAACCCAGGTGAGATTATTTGACCGCATAAATATGTAGAATTCTGTCTTTTATTCTGCTAAGATTACTTTGTTAATTTCCCTCGGGTACATGAACTTAGTTAACTACAATTAAGTATAGCATCATTATCAAGTGAAAGCCTAAACTATGGTTATCCTGCTAGACAGTCATTTCCCTCAGTGACGAGACAGTTAGCCACGATTTCATTAATACTGCTAATGGGTTGCACTTCCACTCAACACAAGCTTTACGCTTGTATCACATGCACGATTCAGTTACCTGCGGATGAAGTATGTCATTCAATCACTGATCACTAGCTGAGAAGTCATAATGGCATCACTAACTTGGACTTGAGAACTAAATAGAAGTAACTCTATTTTCTGAAGTGATGTTGTTAGTACCTGTTTTCTCAAAACGTTTGTAATCTCTGGCTGTCAGTCAGCTAATTAGAATATTATTATTGTCACTTTAGAAAGAGACCATAAGTCTGTGCTAATGCTATGCATTCCTGTGCAAGTATCAGCATTACTGCAAGTTAGAATTAAGAAATTATTTGTTTAGAAGTACATAAGCAACGTTGTCTGACACTAGATTACTATCTAGTGATTATGGAGAACACACTAGTCAACGGTAAGAGCTGTGCGCCAAACAACATGCCAGTAAACCACAGACCTAGACGTTGAGATCTATCTGCATTCAGTATCCAGATTTTGTTTATCGGTCACCTAGTTCTTGTGTTTGTACCAAATCGACTACTTGGGGGAAATATTTGACACATTACCAAACAATACCACTGACGGTTTTTAGAGGACGACAGTCATTCATCTGAAAATATTTGGAGGGTTATGGCTCATTTAAATGGTCACTATTTTACACCAGGTCACAAGTTCGAGAACGACCCACCTGTCCATATTTGCCAACTAAATAGTTTCATTGTCCGTCGCACAGTGGATATGCCTCTGTACCTGGTGCATTCACGTTAATGAGGCAAAAACAATCTTAACGCAATTGTTATATCAACTGGAAAAGTTTTTTGATTTTTAGTACTGTCAGGTTTTCAAACAATGCAAACCTTTCTAATTTTAACTTGTTTCTATTCTCGTCAAGAGGCGTAATTGTTTTTTGGAACCATGAACTCAGCTACTGGCATAGATGAACACTCATTTGATACTCTGTTTTGATTTGACCATTCCTAATTCTAAACCTAACCTTATTTCAGCTAACATAAGTTGTCTAGGTGTCGTATTTCGAAATGTGCAGTAAGTGATCTAGCTACCTCAATAAATTAAGTTCTACAGCCTCATCAAATGACTTACTTCATTTAATCCCTGTACTGAACCATATTGCTTTATCGAACTTAAGGACCTTCACAACTGATCTAAATCTCTCTTCCACTTTCAGCAGTCATCTTATCCCCAAAGTAAATGAGCTACTGTCCAGTGTATATGTTGTTTGATAAGTAGATAGGTATTAGACCTATGACAAATGCCAAACTAGCCTTCTGTATCCGTGCTGAGATCTCATCAGCACCCAGTCCATTGAGGCTTCTAAAACATACTCAACCATTTCACTCTTTATCACTGAATTAGACGACTGCAGACTTATCAATCTTGTAACACCACCTTACTTTTGACAGAAGTGAATGATACGCCAAGAACCTTCGCCTGAGAAGGCTTTCATCTGCATACTTCAGATAATTGAGAATTTACGGCAGCAACAAGTTGATCCATAGGATATCAAATTGGATCAAATGAGAATAATGGTGATGAGCACCCCTTATGAACACTAATGGTTACCATAAAGTTTTACATGACTGCATGAGTCCGAGATTTATCTTCACTGCCGTAGTCGCTTTTGGTCTATGGGATCTAATATCCCCTTCGGATCGAAAATTATCACAACTGCTTGACGCCGGTAAATATGCTTATATCCCAGAATTTGTCGAGATTTGAAGCCATGACGTATACACCCTCTTTCGGGCCTAGAATATATGTCTGGTTTTCATGGGTTTGTTTCTCCCAAGCACTCCTTAGTTTACGTATGATTACTGAACTGACAACTATTGGGCTAGGCTTATTATGAGATTAGCTAAAAACAGTTGTATTATTTCCTGTATCTGTCTTCTCACTACTCAACCCCTTATTCAACAATGAAAACATTCCTATGTGCTGATAAAGTATATGAATCCATTGATAAATAAGAAAGATGTACTTTCTCAAGGAAGTTATATCCAACGTATGGTCCCTGGGTTCGAGTCCTGTCCCATTTGCTTTTATCAAATGGATAATATAATACCTTCACACAAAAGAGCATGGCTGACAGTCTGGTACATGGCAGTATCACTATATCTACATAGCAATATACAGGCTAATAAGCTAAGTATTTGACTATATATAGTATCGATGACTGCCTTGTTTGTTAAGCCTCATACTTTTTGTTTACTGACAAATAATCGTATCACATGCAAAGGCTGAGAGACAAAATATTATTGACCATTTTTAGGTATCACAATTTTTCTGCTATGATTCACTGAAAATTTCTTTTTCACACAAAGCAGGCATTTCCTGCATAACCTAAGAATACTGTATAACTAAGTGTACATTTTTGAAGTGAAGTTACGAAAGGAATATTCTTTGCTGACCTATGTTTTTTTCTTTTTAAAACAGGTGACCGTAGAGTATATGGATGATCATGGTGCTTGTAGGCCTTTACGAGTACACACTGTAGTCATTTCAACGCAACATGACGAAAGTGTGACTCTAGAAAAAGTCCGTTCCGACTTAATGAAATTCGTTATCAAAGAAGTAATACCAGCCAATTTTTTGGATGAAAAAACTAAATATCATCTGAATCCAGCCGGAAGATTTGTAATTGGTGGACCACAAAGTGATGCTGGTCTGACAGGTAAATTTCAGACAATAAAAAGTTTCTTCTGTCGTGTTCTTTATTTTACCTCTTTCCTCTAGACGTTTACACGATACAACATCAGCTCAGAATTGTCGCCACCATAATTATTATTACCGTCACTAGTAGTATTAGTATTCGTCATCTGAATGACCTAAGTAGAGATTATTTGATTATCCAGTTTACGATATGAAGAGCTCACATACATGTCATCCGCTCTGACAAATTCCTCACATTCCTGTACTGTATGTATTCTAATTTCTCCAACAATCTGAACAGCTCTGCAAGCCAGCTTCAAACAAAAAACGGATATCTCATGACCATATGCGCTTGCTCTTCCTTTCATATGAAGAAGACACATTGGTTGACTAGCCTCTGGCAGGTTTTCACCCACCGGTGTTCTAGGTTCTAGTGGTGAATAAGTTTTTTTGCGCTTGGTAGTCGTAGTAGTGATGGGGTTTTTCTCGAGGTGGGGTTACCGCTCAAATACCTTACCGTCCTTTTTTCCGAGTTTAGAAGCAGCTAGTTAACAACAAAACAACCTAAGTCAGGCAAGTTTACGGTACTCAAATATGGATTTATTTGGCTGTTGAATAGGGACAGTCTCTGTTTTATCGTCCTACTAATAGTTGAGGTCTTTTAGGCTAGCTAAAGAGGACAGATGAATAAGTCTGAACCTGTGGAGCTGTTTACAAGTTCTGATTTCAGCTGATAGGTTAGCTTCCAAGATTTTTATATTCAGTCGTAAGAAAGTTAACCTTAGTTCTATGTTTGTGAGTGACAGCTTCGTGACTTCGTAAATGAACTGGTTTATGATTAGCCCAAGTGGATAATAATAATAAGTAAGGTGATAATGCACGGAAAAATGTCGTCCAGTGGCAAACATACATTTTCAGATTTTATTCATATGCACATTTTACCATTTACTTCCTTACTAAGTTCTTCAAATGCCTGTGTTTATTCTTCTTTGTCCACCTACTTTTCACACTTTCTGTTCACCATTCCTTAGGCCGAAAAATTATTGTCGATACATATGGTGGATGGGGTGCACATGGCGGTGGAGCATTTTCTGGAAAGGATTATTCCAAAGTGGATCGATCTGCAGCTTATGCAGCACGTTGGGTGGCTAAATCGCTTGTAAAGGCTGGTCTTTGTCGGCGTGTTCTGGTTCAGGTATGATATAAACAGTTACTTTTGTTTTGTGTTAAAGTTCTAATTTCTTCCTATTATATTTTCTATTCTAACCTACAGTCTGGTAACTGGCATTATTGATTCGTCACGATGCTAGGTCTGTCTGTCTGGCACCACTATATTTCAAAACTTCATTCTAGACGTGTGCCATAAAAGTTTTGGTAGTAGTTATCAGTATACTGACTATTTCAAACCATCCTTTTAACCACATGCTAAAGTAATAGGTTTATTACTTCATACTCGCTATAATACCTACAACTAGTTCGAAATAGAATACGGACATATGATTACTATTCGGATCAATACCATTTGGTTAGATATGTTCTGGAAAGTAGGTTTACATGCTGGGTAAAACAAATCTTTAGGCATTTGGAGGCAAATTAAGTGACCAGCATTACTAAGTTATTTCAATATTTACATGTTTGTTTAAGATCAAGTAGGCGCATGACAATTTTACTGCACAGGTGTGTGATAAAGTAGCAGAGCTGTGCGTTGGAAGCGTGCTTGGCCCATAAATTAAATCCCTTGGGTCGGAACCTATTCTTTGCTGCTAGTGTGTTGGTGGTTCAACAGTAGAACGCTCGTCAACCACCTGCGTGATCCAAGGTTCGGTTCCCTATCGACGCACTCCTAAACGTCACCTAACTGGCGGTCAGCTTGGAAGAGAGAGGGAGCCGGGTGTGAGACTAGCGACCCCGCCTCGTAGCAAATAAAAGCATTGCCACTGAAACTCCAAAGCCTTAAGCTTGAAACCTGATGTTCCCCCATGGAACTCAAGGAATGAAAAAACTGCGTGAATTATTAAAATACTTATTAGTGAAAGATAATTATTTTCAATAACTTTTGCAGGTCTTACAATTACGTCTAAACCTGTTGAAGAATAGTTTGTTGATAACGTCTGCATATCTTTCAAACACCCGATCACAGGTCAAGTAATCTGTTTTATGTAGCAAAGGTGTATGTGTGTATGGTAATATGCCCTCATAAACGACTTGGTACGACCGAAGGTGGGTAAACTCCGGTCTTCCTCATCAAATGCTCTCATGTGACCACGCGTTCATAGCCTTCGACAGTTAAGTCCTATTAACTGTTTTCACGCGTTAGGGGTGTTCCTCATAAAAGTGAAAGGGCGAATGCAAACATTTGACGTTTACAGTCGGACTGGTGCACATGCTAGTCTACTTAGTGGAGCTGATTCCAAACCTATAGTGTACATGAGCTCGAGAATCCGAAGAGACAGAATGTCGTATAAACCAATTTCGGCCACCAGAAACTATGGAAACGTATCCAACTGTCGCTGCTCCACTGCCGTATGGATCAGACTTCAAGTCAAAGGCTCGAGACGGAGAGAGGACTGGTACTTAAGACAACTACTTGCCTCAATCTAGACGTCCGGAAAGTACCCCAGCCCTCACACAAACTCTGAGATCATGTGTGGTGCATCTCTTAGTGCCCATAATGTTCCAAGTTTGTGTTTTGATAAAATTAATAAATGTATGGTGTGGGATTTTCACCAGATTCCAGCTAAACTGTGCATTATCACACTTTCCTGATGATTGAATCTTATTTCTTTTGCTAACGGCAAACTAATTCATTACACAAGACATCCTTCCCTATATCCTATTGTATTACTTTTTAGCTTTCCTATGCAATTGGTATTGCAGAACCACTAGCTATTAATGTGAACAGTTATGGGACTGGCAAGGTCAGCGATAAACAGCTGCTGAATATTATTGAAAAGAATTTTGATTTACGTCCTGGTGTGATTGTCAAGTAAGTTAGTCCACTTAACATGTTCATTGTAGCCGATCGGAGTAGACACCATGTACGTTTTTAGGATTTTTGTACTCACTTGTGAGATTGTTTGCGCTTGTGCTGATTGTCCAGGTACTCAATAGTAGGACATAGAGTCCTACAGAACAATACTGTGCATATAACTGCCTCATATTGGATGACTTTCGAAAGACTTTTTTACTTCTCGTTGAAAACAAGGTTCAAGGCAGATTCTGATTTCTTAAATTTATATTATTTCCGGAGTTTATGTTTCTATCACTTTTCGCGAAGTGTAACACTAAGAGAGACCAGTGGTCTTATCGAATAATGTATTGTTGTCGTCCATAAAACATGTGGCGGATGAAATCTTTAACTGTATAGTGAAGTCCAGGGTGGCATACTGCAACTTGGGCCACGTCTGGTGCCATCGTGACTTCAACCTGCCTGTTATAGATCAGGTTTGCAAAACCGCGGTGCGCATAGGCTCGCTCTGTGCCTGTGAAATCTGGCCTCAGTTGAGAATGTGTGGCATCCCTGCGTGTTAGATCACCTCTGAACGCAGTGGCGTCATCATGTAAGTAATCCTGAGGTCCTGCAGTGTGTGTTTGGACACAATGGTGGTCATTTTATAACATCGGCTTCGGTGGCTTAGGCATGTGCAGCAAATTGTCATATTAGCGGCTCCCTCACCGCTCACTGTTTGCTAGCCCTAGGGCTGGATGGAATAAACAGAGGGAGGGGGTGGTCTGCCCATCGGTCAGTGGGATGAAAGATACCTGTGTTAGGTTGTCATCTGTTGGTGGATCAATATTCCGTGTGTAGAGTCTGTGAGGATAACTTGAATCATTGCCTCTAGATGGTATTAGATATGGCTAAGAATGGCGATCGATGGCAAACTTGCTGTAACTTACTTCCCATACCTTTCAGAGAGTAACATGAAGCAATGAGCCATCCTTTGAATGATCTTGACAAGTAGTATACTTACACCAGTCAATGAAATCCACAACAGTTAGTCTAAGCCACGTAAGAAGGTGTAGACTTCCAGGTGGGGGTCCTCGGGACGGTAAAAACAAATGGTTGGAAACAATTGGTGACATGGCTCAAAATCGTTCTCAGTGGCGCAGATGCATCCACTCGTTGTGACTTATGATTTCCAATGAAACTGTTTTGTTCTTCGTTATTACTCCTCCTTTGTCTCACACCTCTGCTTACTGTCTCTATTATGCTTTTCTTATACTTTCTTCTCTTGCTTCGCGTGCTACACGGAGTGTGGCGACTTGAACTTCCGCACATTTGTGCAAAGTTCTATGTCGAAAACAGATAGACAGACAAACAGTATACTTACTTGCTTCTGGATGCTCTTCTTTATTCTCCGTATGCATAGTTTTATTATTTTTCGTGTGGTGCATCTCCCTATTCCCACATTGTAACAAATTAGTGCTTGAATACAAGCATGAATGGTGTATAAATTAAGTAGTAATCGATTGGGATATTTGTTCATTGAATACTTGCAGTGTACTTCTCAAGGCCTCGACATGCATTTTCAATTATTCATGTCAAATAATAATAATCAGGTTTCAATGACCACAGATGACGACTAATTTCCTTTCTTTTGATTTCACTTTAATCACAGGGATTTAGACCTTAGAACACCACGTTACCTACAAACAGCAGTTTATGGTCACTTTGGTCGACCGGAATTCCCATGGGAACAATGTAAGAAATTAACTTTATAGCCTACACGAAGGGAGCTTTCAACCGTCGCATTTTCTTGACAAATTTATACATGCACATATATATAATGGAAAAATAAAAATTTTTTATTTGAATGTGTGTTTTAATTCCTGTAGATTTGCACATTTCCACCTACACTTCTACCTTGATAGTTGTTTCTTCATTCAATTTCCAGTGTAAGCCTTGTCAGTTAAAAAAACCAGGTCTGTTTTGTCAACAAAGACAAAATGCGTTCCAGTAATCAAAAGATTTGTTTTGGAATGATATCGTCGAGGTTGTTGTTGAGTGGACTCTCCATGCTGTCATGTAGCTATGCGTCCGTCCACAGCCTCTGCCAAGTAATTCGTATCCACTACTGCCTTCACACTTCAGAGAGTGTTATTACGTAACTGGAAGAGCGAGTACGAATGTCTGGTGGTCACCACAGAACTAGTGGATATGGGGAGGGGAGTTGAACAACCCTGATCCCAAACCTGTTATGATAATAATAATTTGCTTTATTCCAAAACAGCACTTGTGATACACAATGGAATTCTCAGCATTGCATCCAGTATGTACATTAACAACAAATAAAATTCTACATAGATTAAGGGTAATCTGTTAGTTTTGACAACAACATATTGCCATGTCGGTAGCAAAGGCAAAAATTGAACAGTGTTTGAAGGTGTTAGAAAAGTAGATACTAGCATATTTACTGGAGTAAGTGGTAACAAAAAGGTCGAGATATACAGAGTGTGAAAGAACGAAGAATGTTTTAAATAGAGTTTGTAAGGAAGAAAGAAAGCAGCACATAACAGAAAAAAGAGAGAAAACGTCGCATCTATATATGATATGAGTTGGAAAGACGAGATCCAGTTGTTCTACTGACTACTTTATAAGTTATAGGTATCACGCCTAATGCTTTCTTTATCGCACAAAATAAGAGCTAAGTAGGGTATAGTTGAGTTTTTGTACTTGCTAATGCGAGCATATAGGCATCTGGTTCTGCCTGATGAGATACAAGGGGAGAGTTGTGAATGACGAGGGTGGTGTGAGTTAGATAGAATGGATTTAGCCCACTTTTCACATGAGTCCAAGTGCCAGAATATTAACAAGCTGGTTAAGTGGCACGTTGCTTATCCTGTTGACAACCTTTACCATCCTGCGTAATAAGATATAGTCTTTCTTCAGTAGCCCAGGAAAAACTAAGAGGGAACAATTAAGAATAATAGGCAGAATGCAAGAGTCAACGAGTTGTAGGAGTAAGGGTTGGGTTATTCCAGAATATCTTAACTTCTTGATGTAGAAGGTAAGACGGAATATTTTCTTAGAAATCATCAAGATATGCAAGTAAGTTCTGTAAGAAATAAATGGCGTATGAATCTGTTCTCGATACCGGTAACCATGGAGACTCAGCATCTGTCATCGCCTTGTCTCCTTGCAGATCAGACTTCAGCTCAAAATCACGGAGAGTAGTCTTTTAAGGTAACCAACTGCTCTATTTTGAAAGTCCGGATAGTATTTCGATCGTCGCATGAAACAGCCAGTCAATGGGAAGTCTAACTTGAATGTATGCTGGCGCAAATTGTTACACTAATTTCATATTCAGTTATTTGAACTATCATTATGCTTTTATTCTCACATTCAGATTAGTTTGTATCACCTTTACGTCTTGTAGTATCCTTGTTCTTGTCACCTGTTCGACATTGTGTGAAGTCCTAGTTTTCCGTACCGCTTGGAGTTACTAGGTAATCACTTCCAAAAAGTCTGACCCCTAGTGCGATATCTGACACTTCGTGCAACGTCGAAGGTTGCAATCTGTGACGTTGAAATATTAGTGTGAATAGGACAACAGTTAGTGATAGCTAAAACCCTTGCAAGACTCGCTCTCGATGTAAGCCTTGTCTCATAGAGCCACATACAAGATCTCAGACAGCTTGTTCGTACAATTTCTCCATCTACCAAACGAGACACTTTCATGTGCGCGTATCCAGGATCTATTCGGCCCAGTCTAGCTGACATCGATGACTCAGTAGCGTTAGGGCTGAAGATGTATTACTTGACTGAATCCTCACAAGCAATCATTTATATGCTGTTGGATTAAAAGGTACATATTAAAGTAAGGGGAAACATAATGTATCTGCAAGTGGATTAGATGTGTGCTTAGTTAAGTCACTTTGGTGTACACGACGTATTTTGGCATACCTTCGGTTTCCAATTTTTGGCTTCAAAGAAACCGTGAAAATCTGTCATTCTAAACAAAACCATGCGCATACTTCTAGTTTATTTTAAGACTGTAACCCAAAAGACCATTTGTCTATTTAAGTATAAGAGAGACTTGCTGTGTGAACTAAATTCACTTTGTAAGATTTTTTGTCCAATCTAATTTCAGTATTTGTAAGTGCCCTTGATGTACTTGTAATGGGCATTTCAACATAGTTTGGACACTTAAACGAGTGGTGAACTTGAAGAATCGGCACCAAACAGGTTCAACCGCACTAAAGACCTTGGAACTCTCTGCCAGAGTGAGGCAGTAAAAACTAGGTAAATAAAAACTTTTTTTAATTGTTGAAAGTGTGAGAATATTAAGTCGGATATACCTGAATAATCTTAAGTGGGGTAATGGTTACTTTAAGGATAGATTAGATTTAGGTTAGGCGAAGATTTGGAAATGGTGGAATTAGGAGACCAGATGTCCTTTTTAGCACAGTGTCCTGTTCCAAGGCTATTGGAGTCTTCGCGCCTGTTGGTTGCATATTCTCCAGGCTTGCCAAAAATGCAACCGTACCATATCTACAAGTGTTTATAGTTTAGGACTGTCATATTTATCTATTATTTCCTTAAGTTCCGAGTGGAAAATAAGGCTTCAACAGTACACCTCCATTTCCTACAATCCTCTTTAACTGACTCTGCGCCTGCCCAACATCATCAACATGGCGTTACCCATTCGGGTTCAACCCGAGGGAGTGGCGTGCTACATCACTCAATGGTCTCTACGGTGTGTGTCCTATCCACCTCCATTTTCTTAGGCATATGGGTACTTGGTTGGTTTGTTGTCAGGGTTCCATGTTTCTAATGCTTTCTGGCCCACCATCTAATATCTTCAACATGGAACGAAGGCAGTTATTGAAAGAAGTTTGAAGCCTGTTCGTGTATACAAATATTCGGGGTGAAGCACCCAGCCTCTGAATCATAATATAAGAACTGACTTGACATTTGTGTTGAAAATCCGAATCTTTTTCTGTGTGCTCAGCACACAACAGATTTCTACACTTATTGCAGAGTAATGAAGGTCCTTCATTCGTCTTTCTGATCTTGCCTTTGGCATTCTCATACCTGGCGCCACGCCTGTAATTGAAACGATGCTGCCCAGTTGGTAGAAGAAATTGATGATGGACTTCAAATTTCTCCTGTTGATGATAGTGATTGGTACTTGTTATAGCCGATTAGGCATCTTCATCATTTCTGTCTTCTCTGTGTTCGCTGCTTCTTCTTCCACCTTGTTGGTTTTCGCCTGTAGATTTTCAATTCTGTGTGATATTAAGCATAAATTTTTCAAGACGTCCAAATCTTCTTTATGGTTGTAGCATATATAAACAGTAGGTTTTACAATTTATCCCCCACTGACTTCTATTCGCTCAAGGTGTTTATTTTGCATCTTCTCTTCACCTGTTTGGTTAAAATTTCTCTCATCATATACGGTCACAAGTTGTTCCAGATACCACCGGCTCCCCTAAATATAATAACTTGGATTCCAGAGGTTATGATATGTATTAGCTTATTGGAAAATAACTGGGACTGCCTTCATATTTAAGACTTATTTCTTAATAGTCGTATGCAAAAATGTGAGTACTCATAAATTAGCCGGAAATAAGTATCAGTCAAAATCGGGCTTGCGGGCAGTTCTTTCTACTATTCAACTTCATGAAAAGTGTCTGGCACTTATAATGATTATTATCAGTATTATTGTTCCTTTGGGTTCCTAGTGGAACATAGGGCTTCAACTCCACTTGCCACTTCTGTCTTCCTTCTGCTGTACTTTTCACCTGAATCCATGTTAGTCCATACTCTTTCAACTCCTCTTCACACCATCTCATCCATGTCACACTTGCACTGACCTCCCACTCTCCGCTTCCCTTTCGGCCTGGTTCCACTCGAGCAATGGCCTGACGCGTGTGCGATGTCACCCAGCGGTCTCCTCACCTGGTGTCCAATCCATCTCCACTTTCTCCTGCATATTTGTTGTTGCTGGGTGATCGGTTCTTGTTTTGTTTGTTTCTTCCCATAGTTTGGTTTGTTGTTGGTGATTCTTTCCGGCATGGCCATCTGATCTTCAGTACAGAGCAGGCGAAGACAGTTGTTGATTGATGAAGGTCTCCAACAGGCTGTTGGAAATATTCTTTGTGACCCGCCCGCGAAGTTTATGATCCGTATAGAAGAACTGACTGACTTGACGCTGTTTGTATTGAAAATCCGACCAAATTTTGTTATTGATGCTGAGCGACGAAGATTTCCAGATTGGTTTCAGTTGATGAATGTGTTTTTCGCCTTCCTGAATCTCGCTCGATTTCACATCCTCGTCCGTTCCGACTGCCTGTAGTTGAGACTGCTCCCTAGATAAGTGAAGTGAATGAAGTAAACTTTCAAATCCCTCCTGTTGATGGTGATTGGCGCTAGATGTTGCTGCTGTTGTTGTTGGTTGGTTGGATATTTTAATAACCTCCTTCTCGTCTATGTTCACTCGGAGTCCTGTCTTCATCGGCTGCTTCTTCGACCAGTTTGTCGGTTTTCGCTTGTAAGTCTTTGATTTTGTGTGACATCAAACATATATCATCCACTCGCGAAATCCAGGTCTTCTAGGTTCTTCACGTCGGTCCAGGCAGGATATCCCTGTCTTCTCGTTTCTCACTGTGATAATAAGCACCCTTGTCTGACTCCTGTGTTTACTCCAAACGCCTCACTGAGTTTTCCTTTGTGGATCACTTGACAATGAGCGATCTACTAATACAACCTCCAACCAATTAGGTAAACAACATATATACTTGATGTGCTAACTTCGTTATTCGCCTACAACAGTTGATGGGGCCAGATGGAATAATTCAGGGGAATCCAGTTCTACTGATCT